GTTTCCCATATCTTCTGTGTGTCTGTGTGTCCTTCAGGTCTCTGTGTCACTGGGGAGACAAAGGCTGCCGGGCGTGGTGTTGGCCACCCACCCCCTCGTGTGCCATACCGGCCTTCATAGGTACTCTCTAACAGCACTTGTCCCAGCAGTCTGTCAAGGCTATACGGGGGATCTTTTTATTTGTTTTGTGTCTTTAAGGTACGTTCTTTGTGTCTCCTGTGTGTTCTTCACGCGTGTGGTTTAAGGTGTATTTAAAGATATGTTCTGTATGTCTGTGCAGTGTGTTCTGCATGTGGCCTTCCTGTGTGTGGACTTTGTTCTGTCTTGTGACTTTAAGGTTTATTCTGTGCATTCTTCACGTGTTTGTGACCTTCACACTCGTGTCTCCTTTACATGCGTTGTGTGTGTCCTTCAGGTGTGTGTATTTTATCGAGTTGTGTGCGATGTGTCTTTACAAGTGCATTCTTTTCATGCATTTTGGTGGTGCGTGCATGTGTGCGTCTCTTTCACGTGTGCGTGCGTGTGTGTGTCATTTCAGGTGTATGATGCGTTTCTTTTATGTGCCTTGCGTGTGTGTGTATGTCGTGAGCTGTGCGTGTGTCTCTATGTGATGTGTTCTCTTTGTGTGTCTCTCAGGTGTTTATCTCCCGCATGAGTTTATCTGTGTGCCCTATCCATTCCCTCTGTTGCCTTCAATTGTGTTTCCCAGGTTGTGTTCCGTGTGTGTGTGCGCGCGCTATTCAGGTGTGTTCCGTGTGTGTGTGTGCGCGCTATTCAGGTGTGTTGCGTCTTTATCGGTTGCTGTGCTCTCTTTTCTATACCCCCCCCACCCCGTTTAATAAGCGTGTTTGTCCATCTTCCATATATATTTATATTCTCTGCGAGCCTTTAATACTATGCCCTTGAGGTGCCTGCTGTGCGTGTCTGTGAGGCGTTTGTACATGTCCTGCGTGTGTACATCCTAGGGTCGCCAGCTGTGGTGTCCCATCACACACGTGCTATACCTCGCCACCCCTAATAGGTGCTCGCTAATTGCATGATCGCCGACAGTTTGTCTTCGCGGTGAATGGTCGCCTGGACGTCTGAGTGTCTGAGCGTGTGTGGTGTGATCCTTGTGGCCTGGCCGTGCGTGGATGCACAGTTCAGGAAATCCCCTCGTGCACTCTTCTGTTTTTATCTTATTTGTCTTTTACCGAAGTTTCCTCTTCATTGTGTTATCGGCATCTTGTCATGCGATGAATAATGCATTCGGATCTCCCAGTGCAATGCTCTGTGTTAGAGAATGGTCCACAGAAGCAGATACAACAGAGGGTAGCTCAGAGATCCCTTCAAGTAACCTCTGTTCCACATACTGTAGTGTCAGCACATGCCCACCCACTCTGCCACTGAAATAGCATCGTAATAATTGAGAACATTCGGTATTCGCACCATTGCTATAGCACGAGGCTCCCACCAAGGAAGGCTGCAGTAGCCTCACAGTAGGGAGCGATGCTGTTGTGGGTCATCCTTATTGAGTAATTTCCAACATGACTTCTGAATTTAGCAAATTTGGACAGTGACGCCCGCACACAATATCCTGCTCATTTCAAATTACGGCACAGGATCATTAATATCAACTGCGAATCAGATGATACGTATATTATGATTAATACACCCACAGTAATAACCAGGACGGCCTGCCGTATCGAAACGCCACCCTCTGCAAAGTGGCGAACACGGCAAAGTCCCGGGTGTGCCGTGTTATTTTTGGCAATTGTAGGAAACCAAAGAACCTCACTGTTCCCAAGCGAGGGCAGACGAACTCTGTGCCGTTCAGTGGCCGATCCACCCCTCACACCTCTCGCCCCTCCCCTCTCCGTCGGTCGCCCTGGCACAGTGCGGTAGCAGACGGCCGTCAGCCCTCATCCCCGGCCCTCTCAAGTCCCTTGCTCATGCATGCACAGTTGGGAATTTTTTTTAGTTGGGTGAACTGCGAAGTGTTTACCGCAAAGTGGGTTCCGAGGATTGAAAAATTTCGTGAGAAACACTGCCCTAAGCCCACCGTGCAGTGCTTTGATTTTGCGTGCGTGCGCATTGTCTCTGTGCTTATTTCGGTGTTTCCACCATGGGCAGTTGGAGACGGTCGCCCTCCAACAACAACTGAGGGCAGAGGAGTGACACAACAACGAGTGGAGCGGCGGGCGGCTAAAATGCAGCAAGTTAGCACAGTAGGGGGTACAGCTATTGGATCTCCCAGTCATCTCAGTCAGCCAACCCATGCCAGCTGGGTTTGTCCCGAGACCTCCTGCCAGTGAGCCTTCGACACTTCATGTGGCCTCAAAGTGTACCTGGCCTGGCACAGGCACCATGGTGACGTCACCGACGCTTATTGGCAAACGGCGGGAGTAGTGGCACCACGGTGGCTAGGAGACGTTAACTACTTCGCCTGGTATACAGTCGGTCGTGGGTTCGATCCCAACCCTGACGCCTGTATATTTGGAGTCCGCGTGGTCTCCCCGTGGCGCTTGGATTTTTCTCGGGAGTCCTCTGGTTTTTCCTTCCACATTTAAAATCAACATCACCCGTTTAGAGTATTTGGCTGCTATAAATTTCCACTTGAACATAAGCCGCTTCGTTGAGCTATCATTTGTGGCCAGGTCGCTTTCGAAAAAGAGCTATACAGCTCAGTGGGCCTTAGCTGGTAAAATAATAACAGTCGTAGTTTAGTGAGTTGTTGTTATAGCTGTCTCTGTGTACTCCGGTTTCCTCTAAAATGCGCAACACTCACGAAAGAGGAATTGGCCAAACATCTCAATGGAGGATCCTCCTGAGATAGTCTTGAGATGCAATCGGTTTTTCTAAACTATAAATGATAATGGGTTTCCATTAAGAATTGGAGGAAATATCTTAACCTCGTACAAAGCAATATTTGCAATATTTTAATTTGTGTAGGACTGTAGGTTAGAGCAACCTCCTGTTGCTAAAATCAATTAATTTCTCCTCTCAGCAGCCCTGTGTTGTGGTACGCTGTGATGTTTGTGTATTGTTCTCACAGTCGCTTCCTGATGAGCTGTCTGTGATAGTAAGGATTTACAGTCCATCGAAGATCATCGATTATAATTATCCGGTGGCTTCGTCGGGGGGAGAGGGCGCCGGATTTTCAAAAACGCCAGATGATCACTAAATCATGATTTAAAATAGCTTATTTTTGCACATTCTTGTAGTATATTATGCTGTTCGGTCTTATGTTTTTTAATGTTTAAAATATGTTAACTATGTGAAATTGACATAAATAGGCATACAAATAGACACGAATAAATTTCCTACTTTAAAAAGTTAATGTATTGACTCTATCGTACTTTCCACTCCAATATCGACGACATCATCATGGGGTGATGTATATACATGCAGTATTTTCATTGTTGAAGTTGCATGTAGTGTATAATGTACTGTATGTCATACTTGACACTGAATTAAAGCATTGCTAATTTTGTTTTCACGCGCACGGTGCCCTTTGCCGGATTGGGTTACAGCCTTTGGAGCGGTTTTGCCCGTTTAGACCGCCAGATAATGTTGGAAGCCGGATAATAATCGCGCAGTGCCGGATAATCGATGATCAACTGTAGTCGCACATTGCGTGATCTTCGCAATGCAATAATCTCACGCACCGATCTCCGATTGTTAGGAATTCATTGCGCCTCCGCGCATTTCGTCCTCGCCCACCGCCTGAGTGTTTAACTGAAGAAAAAACAATAACAAGGAAGAAATGTAATTCCCGTGCGTGGATCCCGAAGTACTTTGCAGCGCACGGCTGTCTTTGGAAGTGGCTGTATGGCTACGCGGGATGCTCTTAACGCTCGTAGCGACAGTGCATACATACAACGCCCACGATGACAAGTTGGTGCACGGCTGCTTATTACAGCAGGCATATTGCAGCTACAGCCAGGGATATTACTACAGTCATCAGCCTGAAATTTCCCCACTCGCCACCGGCTTAAGTAGGAATGGAAACTTATGTAGGCACAGATTGGAGGGTGGGAGGGGGCAGATGGACAATTGTGTAAACCGTTCAGTTTCCAATCCAACAAGACTACTTTCCATCGCATTCCAGACCCTGTCTGTAGACGCCTGTGTGCGTGTAAATTTGCATTTGCAAAGTTTAGGTGGGTGGCGGGGGAGGGCGAGGAGGGGTTGTGAATTGAGATACTTGAGTCAGTTGTTAATCAAGCTGTTAATGGCGCAGAGGACAGGATATGCGCATTGTAATCTGAGTTGTTTAGAAGCTATAATGCTATGTTGAGCCGGGCACGATGGGCTCTCTCTGGCTTCTGCGGCTTCCTCCCACACAACACAAAACAACAACAACAAGTGGAATTGGCCAAGCGGAGTAGTGCAGAACTCTCCTGAAAACAAGTCTCGTGTGTGAGCGAGACTCTCCGATAATGTCGATGAGGTATAAACATCTCACCCCGAGTAACGATGCCTTGAATTGTTTATTTTCGGGGTGTTGTGGTAAGATATAAGGATTGGAAATTGTTGCCTCGTTTGTGCCATATTTTTATTGTTTATTGATTTTGTTAATGTATATTTAATGTTCAGTGTTTTCTCGCAGTTTGCCTAAATATTACATGAGCATATAATGAGTTTATAATTTGCATGCACGTTGATTTATTTCTCGTGTAATTTCACGGACATATCATGAGCGAAAGAAATCCGTTTTACTTGATGAATAGATGACGTTCTGCGCCTAGATATTGCGTTCACACATTGGCTGTGAATGTAAAAACCAAGCGCCAAAATGTGGGCTACCAAAACAAGCGTCGCTCCTCGCTTGGAGGCGGCGCGTTCGTTTTTTGCTCTCAAGTGCCTTTTTTGCCCATTTCCTTCACGATGCTAGTCAGAGAGTTGCCAGACGTTGGCAGCGGTCCCCACTCCGAAAGAGAGAGAGAGAGAGATGGAGGAGACGGAGAGAGAGTCTGAAAAGAAAAGGGGCCATTGACTGCCTCCTTTCTTGCATCCAGCACCGCCACGCGACGGTCGAGACGAAGGCGGCGGCGGCGGCGGCGGCGGCAGCTGGGCCAGAAGGGGGCCGCTCTTGGCAGCACCGCAGGGAAGGTGCTGGACCACTCGCCACGTTGACCCAGGTCATCGTGGCGTGCCAGAGCGAGCGTGGACGTGCCCCCACGGCGCACTCGGTGGGAGGTTGGCGTCACAAGGCGAGTCGCCTCTCGTTCGCCTCGCGGTAAAGACGGCTGCGATTTCTGTGCGGTCGGGCTGCAAAAGTATTTGTTTCTCCGCAAAAATGTTTTAGTGAAGCTGCGGCACCCTGGCGATACCACTGCGACACCCTGGCGCAGTGTAATTCAGTGCTGGTTTACGGTGCTAAGCCACATAGGAAACAACCCACAAATCACGCAGTAGTATCCTTTGGCATGCATCTTAAGATCCACTGTAAGGCTACTGCTATAAGTAGCAGAGTTTTGCATCGTCGAGTGTTGCGATGATGCCGCTGTGGTGCAGTGGTCAGCACGCTTGACTTGGAATCCAGAGGTCGCCAGTACGATTCGATCTCCTGGCGCGGCAGTTGAGACGATGGGGCGAGTCTCCAAAATATCGCCCCTGCCTCTGCCCACCCAGCAGCAGCATACAGTAAGTGGGTTCACAACAGTCGATTGACAGGTCACGTGCTGTGGGGTAAGGTGTGGTTTATATGCCAGCCCCTTCCAAGACGTCTGGCCAGCATGGAAGAGTAGGCCAAACACCCTCTCAAGGGGCTTTCCAGAGCTTGCTACAGTGGAGGCCCTTCCACCAGCAGTGACGTGAACAAGTAATTGCGGGGCTGCGCCTGCACCTTGTTAATATGATGAAGTGCTGCAGTGTGCCTGATATCTGTGAATGGAAAAAAAATACAGCTCGTGTTTCCATTTAAAAACTGTTCATATGCCAACTTAAAAGGGTTGATTTCACCACACCTGTATAGTGCGTTCTCCATCTGTGAGTCACTATCCCTGTGGCCCCTCTACTCTAAAGAACCATTCTACAATACGACGTTTGCTTGTGAAGCAGCATTACGAATGACGTGCCGAATCTGTGTAACTTATGCCTTTCATTTTGTTGTATACATGGAGATGTACAGCCTTGGGGGATAGTGGGAGGCGGTGGTACGTGACTACCTCACCAGCCTCGCCAGTGCGAGTTGGTGAACGCGTGGAGCATAGATGTGGCAACATGGAAGTACAGTACAACAATGGATTTTGTTACACTGCCTTCTCACTAAGTAACAAAGACGACCATTTGGCCACAAAGTGGAAGTGACGTCACCACACACTTTGGCCGGGCTTGGTGTTCTACCTTGAGGCCACATGAAGTGTCAAAGGCTCACTGGCAGGAGGCCACGACAGACCCTGGTGCCATGGGTTGACTGACCGAGATGACTATCACCAGCTGTGCTCCCTCTGTGCCTACTTGCTGCGTTTTATCTGTGTCCCACTCAGTTCATTCTTGTGAGCGTCGCTCTTCCTCCCACTGTCCTTGTTCGAAGGTGGTGACTCCAACTGCCCAGTCGCGTCCTTCACGAGCCTCCTCCACAGAGGCCGATCTTGAGAACCACATCCATCTCTCCCACATCAATCCATCTCTTCATCACAGACAGTGAATTTGACACACAGGATTTTGCTGCTGATGAACATTTAAGTCATAAATACCCTCCACCACCAAACACAGTCAAACCAATTAAGTGATCATATGCACTGTTTAACCCGCCAATTATCATTAGCTCGGCTCACTGGTAAGTTGAAGAACAATTCTCACGAACAAATTGAGCAGCGATTTAGATGAACGACATTTAGTTTGAAGCCAGAATAACGATCTTGACTTTGTCTATTTTTATTCTGACTTCCTGGATCTTGTCCTGATGGTGTTTGATGTCTGGCATACGTCTGTTGGACTCTGCGTAAGCGTTTGTGGGCCTCTCTGCGAGTTGACGGGTCTCGATGGTAGCCCTTGGGTCCCTTGGTGCGCTTGTGGGTCTCTGTGTGAAGTCGAGAGGCAGTTTCACACCGCCCCGCCCACATCCGCTTGGCGACTCTGGATACCCAGAGCTGTCCAGGGCAGATTTTGGCAATCCTACTTTCGATGCTGCCTCCTTCAGGCATGGCTATATTTGCCTCAATTCCCCCATAGGCAATGGCACCATCTCCGTTTCTTCCACCCTGCCCCATGCGCTCCCCCCGATCGCCGCCGGAGGAGGAGCGAGGGTCCCCGTGGTGGTCCACACACCCCACGCCGCTCGTCCGATGCCAGTGTCGGTTTATTTTTCAAAGCGACCTTCCAAGACTCGGTTGCCAATGCTGCCCAGAAATGTGTTGACGGTTTTAAAATTGAAACACATTTTGCATGTTTTCCTTTGCCCCTGATGGATTCCATGAGGGTTTTTTTGAATCACGATAACGTTGGCCGTTCTTGTAAAAATCCAGTTGGGCAGTGCAGTGGTCATCTTTCAGTCGTAGCGTTACACTGCAGATAATGCAATTAATATTCATATTTATAACAGGAACGCTTCTCTGACACTCGAGCCTCGTTCATGAGGGTCCTGCTGTGTTGGGTTACTATTTTGACAATTCCTCCACTCGCTTGTTTTTACGCAGGAAGGTAATGGTGCAGCCCTGTAATCGCCTTCTCACACCACTAGGGGAGAGCTCTCCACGTGACTTTACCGAAAGAAACAAAGAGTAATTCCTGCAGTCACGAAAGCTTCGAGTCTAGTTTGAACCACCTCTACGGGGGGGGTTTACTCACAACTCACACTTTACTTCTAATTTAGCAATCTTTGGGAGAACGTTAATCAACCAGGCTATGCCTTAACTGTGTGGTAACCGACCCTCTGTGTTCCATTGCATTACACTTCTGAATTTTACTAAATTTGTTTTCTCAAACTTTAGATTTTCTTGCTCGAAGCCATTCTCTCCTCCGGCCACTGTGGTCCGGAATTCCACACTGCTCCCTCCTTGTCCCCTCGTTTGTCAGCTGGTCCCGCCTCCCCAGTCCTCTCTCTGCCCCGGCCTCTCCCCCGTCTCTATTTAAGGTCTCGGCACAGAGTTGTTGTCCTTCTGTTTGTCTTGGTGTGTGTCTCCCTCGGTGTGTATTTGTGTCTCTCTACATGTGTGTGTGCCTATGCTGTTCCCGTGTCTGTGTTTTATCATTCATTCTTACCTGATGATGTTTGCTTGTGTTGCAACCGAAACGTCGCATTTTATTATTGAGTTTATTTTCTACGTGACTTTACCGAATGAACCAAAGAGCTCTCGAGGGTATTTGGTCGACTTTTCCACACCCGAGCAGGCGTGTTGGTAGAGGCGGGGTACCCGCCGCACGCGACCTGCCGACTGTGACTTCACCACGGCAGTGAGCACCCATTTACTCTGCCCCAGTGGACAGGGCCCACGGCGGGGGGGAGGGGGAGCAATTCAACAAACTCGCTCCCCCATTTGTTGCAAGTGCCGCCGAGCGGTTGACCGTCTATCCCTGTCGTCCGTTTCCCCAGCAGAGATCGCAGCGGGCGCCGGCGAAAGCGTCCACCTGGACCGGTTGGGGGGGCCGCTCCCCCCCCAGCCCCCCCCCCGTCTCCCCCCCACCGCGGCTCAGCATGAGCTGGCTCAGCCGCTTCAACGCTCGCGGGGGGCCGGGGGGCCGCAAGGCCGAGCGGGAAGTGGCCGCCGGTGCCACGGGCGTCGCCGCGGGCGCCCCTGCAGCGGGCCCCGTGGCCGCCGCCGTGGCCGCCGCCCAGCCGGAGCCCCCCAGCTCCCCCGGCGCGGACCCCGAGACGTGCCTCATGGTCTACAGGAACCACTGGATGCAGGTGGGTGGCTTCCTCGCGCCGCTCTTCGCTCTCTCCGTGCTCCATCGTAGTCGTGTTGGTGGGGGTTCGGGGAGCGGTGGCGCAGCCGTTAGCTCGCCGCCGCTTATGAACTCGTTCCCCCAGGACGGGAATCAAAATGTTTATTGATCCTGGAGAAATCCGGTGAGCTATGAAGCTCGTTTGCACGGATGTCCAGTGGTGGTGGGTCAGAACGTTACAACGACAAACAATACAAAAACACGATAGGAAAGCAAAGTATAGGAAACGTAAGCGAATCACTACATTAAATAAAGTATATACGATCAAATTGCATTAGTTCAAATCCCAATCTTTGGCAAGGCAGCAAAACGACTGCAAGAACGGTCCTAGACCACACCGAGACAACCACACTACAGCCTGCTCCCCCCCCCCAGAGTCCGCTCCCCCCCCTCCCCCCAGAATCCGCTCCCCCCCTCACAGTCCGCTCCCCCCCCCCCCAGAGTCCGCTCCCCCCCCCCCACCCACAGACCAGCAACGCGCTCCACTTGAGAACCCCGTTTCATCACATGCAGATGGAATCCTGGATTTGAACCCGGGATCGCCAGTGATCTGACATTATAAGCCTCCCGGGCACTCTCTGAGTTTCCTTTCACACTGATCTCTTCCACAGGGTGAAATCACGACTGCTGTCTGTTGCTTTTCGCGTGCAGTATTTATGGTCATTAAAGCGGTGTTCTTAATCTCTGTGAGCATGAGCCCTCTCGGCAGCATTCTCACTGCGGGGCTGTTCTTTGAAGAGGCCCTTTCGGGCGATCGCTGCTTTTAAGTTGAGGTCGCTTTGAATTGGTCACATCAGAGCTATCTATGCATTTGCTTGCTCTTTAGTGAATGAATGAAACACCTCAACTCCGTAGCTGGACTGTTTTCTAAAGGCCTCGGTTATGACCCCACTGCATCCCTCGGCCTGGTCAGTCAGGGTCGTTGTTTGCGGTGTAGTGGGGGGCGGGGGGGGGCAGAGTTCTAGCAGATACTCGCTGCCGACATTCGCCTGCGTCCACCGCGCCCACCAACACGCGGTGCACCCCGTGAGCAAGCGCCACTGTGGCGAGATGTTAACTACCTCGCCTGGTATACAGGAGGTCGTCGGTTCAATCCCGACCACCCTGCTGTATATTTGGAGTTTGCATGTTCTGCCTTTGGTATCGTGGATTTTTATCCGGGTCTTCCGTTTTTCCCTCCACATTTAGAATCAACGTCACGCGTATTGGCTGCTATAAATCTCGACACGATTAGGCCACTTGGTTGAGCTATCATTTGTGGCCAGGTTGCTTCTGAAAAATAAGTTAATACCTTACCTGGTAAAATAAAAAAATAGTTAACAGTTTTGAGCACCGTCCGATGCCCCACCGGCTCCCCGACCGCCACAGGTGCTTAAGGTGATCGAGAGGAATGCGGGTGGGGGGCGCGACGGGGTCGCATCATCGACGGCCCCTGCCGACGAGAAGAACTTGGTGCGGAACAACGTGGACCAGATGCTGTACCTGCTGGCGGAAGAGCTGCCTCCGAGGACGGGCGGCATGGGCCCCATCCTGGAGTTCACCGTCTCCGACGAGGTCCTGGGCCGCGTGGTGTCGTGGGGCCTGCGCATGCGCACCGCCCACGGGGGCGTCAGAGGCCAGGTGAGGGCTCCGGCGCCGGCTCCTAAAATCTGTACGCGGACAAAATAAAAGCGTTGATTTTCCGAATGACCTCCCGTGGGCCCCGCTCGGTGTGGCGGTTGGGGGGTGGGGGGGTCATCGCGGCGACGACGATGCCGTTACGTCGTCTGCCGGGGGTGGGGCCGTTGCTCGCTGGCGTTTTGATTGGAATCTGTGATAGCGAATCATCACCCCCCTCCCCCCCTTTCCTGCGAAAAACAAACTTGCCCGAGTCCTTCCGAAGAAGAGTCGTGAGACCCGGTGAGGCTCTGCTGGGTGAACAGGGGTAGTAGTAATAATAATTAGAATGGCACGAGTACCAACGTGTAGCCACCTGCAGGGACGGATGGCGGGAGGCGAGGGCTGAGTGGGGTTGGGTGGGGGGGCTCAGCGGTGTTTGTCTCTCGCTTGGCTTGCAAGTGCCACTCCCTAAATAATGCAGCGTCTCAGCGAGGCGAGACATTGTCCGCGCACTACGGTGTGAGCTCCGCTCGTCAGCTCCATGGCTCGGGAGCGCAATTTCGTTCGCGCTCCGGGCACGCTGCCACGCGCACGCGCACCAACGGGGCGGTTGCTAGGCGTGTAAGAATGGCCACGCGCGCACGTATACGCTACACCCCGCTCCCTTCCCGTGGTACTCGGTGAATCGTCACCATTCGGTATTGCGATTCTGTGCAACTCTTGCTGACTCATTGGGTCTTTATCATCTGTTGTCTCGTTTTTGCCGAGTTTTGTCCGTGTTTGTCTTGTCTGTGCAGTCTGCCTTGTTCTACCCATCAGGTCTGCCAGTTCTGTACTGTCTACGTTTTCTTCGGTGTGTCACATTTGCGTTTGCGCAGTCATCACAGCGGTCACGTGCTTTTGCTTATACTGAGATATCGCAATGACCACAATCGCCCGGAAAGCACCCGATCATCGCAAGGCGTGTGAGTGGTCCCCGTCTGTCTGCTATGAAGAAGGGACTTTGCCCAAATGTCACCTACTGTACACATTCTCCTTTGAAGGGCCACAGTGGTGTTAATGAATGTGTCGATTTAACACGTAGGCTGGATTAATGTGTCGAGTTTATTGTTGTTATCTATCATTTGCCATTTAAAGAAATTATTTGTTTTTAAAAAGTGCCAACGGTGATGAGGCACTGACGCTCGCATGGCAATGTAACCCGGGCACATTCCGCCAAAGTCTGGCTCATGCCTCCCCCAGTCTCTCAAACCGCCACCCCCCCCCCCACCGCTCTCTCACCATCCCCTTGAATTTGACTCAGCTTTGCAAGGGCTATGTCCCGAAGCGGCGTCATTCCACGCTAGCGAACTTGCCGTCGACACAAAGCAAAGTGAACGCGCTGTACGCGTGTGCGTGTGTGCGCACGTGTGTGTGTTGTGTGTTTTATGGCTGCTTGTGTTGTGTAAGCTCTGCGTTTAAAGCTGCGGGCCTCACGACATTTGGCTGCGTCTGGAAGAGCGTTCTTGCTGCGCTGGGCAGTAGACGTGCGACAGCTCTTGCCTGATTGTGGGAATTACCACGATTCTGGGTTGTTATTTGATCCAAGAATTGAGGTTTTAAAATATTTGTTATTTACGTCGTGGTGCTTGAAGCGCCTGTTAAATGGATGCGTCACGCGAACCAATTGCCATGTTTACGATTCAAACTCGAGTGATTCGTGCACGCGGGATTCGATGTTAATATTAACTGGAAAAAGAGTTCCCGGACACCGTGAGGCTTTCATGGGTCATCGGGGTTATTTGACCATACCTCACCAAGCGGGTCAGTGTGCGGGTTAGTGTAGACTGAGAGCTTAGACATCGGAGCGTATTACGGCACAACAATGGATTTTGCGGCACTACCCACTGCTGCCCACAATGTAACCCAGCAGCAGCCACCTGTCAACACCTCCTGTGCCGATGCACGGCGGTTGCACATCCCAGCACAAGGCCCGAGCCTGCAAGGGAGAGCCGTGTGTGAGAACGTATTATTTGTAATTCATGGAAATCATGTACAATCGTATGCTAATGCAAACAAGAAGGCACGAAAGAGACAAATAAATAATTGTTTCTTGACTCAGATTGTGACCGTGAGTTGTGACCTGTGATATTGCAACATCCACCTTCGGGGTGCTTCCATGTGGCATGGTTATAAGGTGGTCAGACGGCTTGATTTGTCTCTTTGCATGATCTCTCTCTTCCACTGCACACCGGAGCCATGCCAAGGCCGTGCAGGAGGCGCCAGATCATTTCTCCACCGCAGAAGCTGATCCGTGCCACTGGCGCTACGCTCGGTGAACGAGTCGAGACACACGTATATGGGCGCGGTGACGCTGCGCTTTAGAACTGCTTATAGTTTGTTGTCCCTTCCACAGCACCTCCGATTAGCACAGTTGGTTACGTACGGTACGAAAAAAAGTTTAACACACATACTGCAATGATCGTTCTCCCCGCGTCTGGCCCCGTTTGTCCCCGTTTGTCCCCGTTTGGCCCAGAGCCAGATTCAGACGTATTGTGAATCCAGCGTAGTGCCCTTTAGTTCTGGCTCAGCACGGCAAACGCCCAGTCGAGGACCATGCGTACCGTGAGTTTACCCTTCGCTGGCCTCGGCTGAAATGCCCCAGTGGAGCACGGGGGAGCTCAAGTGGGAATCTCCGTGAACCTCGTGCTGCGCAGGATGCTGTTGACGAGGAGGACGAGGAGGTGAGAGCGGAGCAGCTCAAGATGTACGAGGTGCTGGTGTCGCAGTCCCACCAGCCCCTACTGCATCACAAACCCATCCTTCACCCGCTGCTGGGGCTGATGGCCGCATGCGCCAACTCTCGCTCTCCCAAGGTGAGGCCGATCCCTCCCGTCCACCCCACCCCTGTGGCGCTGCGGATGGCGGGAGCTGGAACTGAACGGGAACGCTTTGCGTCTCCTTCGCCTTGTTCTCGTCTTGTACGGCGGGTTGCTGCTCGGTGACGTTTCCGTGTTCGTGTCGAGATTGGCGAGTGGGCGAGTGGGCGAGTGGACGGCCTCAGGAGCAGCCTCACGCTGGTTATCTGGATGATCGAAGCACGTAGCGGCGTACTGTGAGGTCCCTTGTTTTAGATGTAGATTCACTCGGACACCTGGGTGAGATTCCAGCAGCGTGGTCCCTGTCGCCTGCAGGTGGAGACCAACCTGGTGCTGCTGCTGAGCCAGCTGTGCTCGGTGCTCGTCAAGGACCCGGCCACTCTGGAGCTCGTCTTCAACGACCGCCCATCCCCGCTCGCCCCATCTGGCGGCGCCGGTGCCGCGGGTTTCGCGCCACGTAACGACGCGCTGGTGTTCGCGCTACTCGTGGGCTACGTGCACCGCGAGGGCTCGCTGGGGCAGCAGGCGCGCGACGCACTGCTGCTCATCATGTCACTGACGGCAGAGAACCGCTCGCTCGGGGAGTACATCGCCGACCGCTCTGATTTCTGCCCGGTGAGAGCCCGGCGTTGCCGGCGTTGCCGATTTGGCGGCGCGAGGTCCGCGATGACAGAATCCGTAATTGGTGTTCGGGTCGGGCCATCGATGATATTTTGTTGAGCGTGAAGGCAGCAGCCGGAGGGCAATGTCGAGGTGTGCCGCTGGCCACAACGAGAGGGCTTCACGAGACGGCGTCCTTTTGCTATTCCTCCTATTAAGGAGCGTAGACTACAGTGTCCACGCCCACCCAAGGCCACCTAACTGAACATATGTGTCGTGAAATCCTCCACCACCAACCCGACATGGCCAAACATTAAATTAGCACTTTGTCAGGCATTTTAATGGGCCAGTTATTGTATCAGCTCACCGGAACATTGGAGGGGAATTCTCATGTTTATGAAGGCACGATGTTTGATTTGGATATCTGTCAAATGTCTGGGAAAAAAATAATTCCAAATGTAATGTAGAGTCGTGGTAAAATTTTCGCTTAAAAAAACCCTTCGTACACCGCGTGGCAATTTAATTTGTTTGGCTGTGTCGGGTGGTTTTATGACACATTTGGTCAGATCATTACGCGTAAAGATAATTCTATCGTCTTGTTTTGGAAAATATTGTTTGATTGTCGCTCTTAATTTTTAAAACGTTCTCATTTCGAACAAAATATATCTGATATCACGAATAGTAATTAAAAAAAATAGCTTTCTGATGTATTTGGGTTTTTTTGCCGTGCGTTGTTTGGCACGATGCCCGACGTTTCGCTCGTGCTGGGAGCATTCTCAGGCAGCGAACTAATATAGTGAGTTCTGCTCTAACGCCGCTCGTTTTCATTACGCGAATTCGATATAACGCAATTAATGTATAAGCTAACACATTTTTTATAACGCGATCGAGTGAACAGAACTACGTCGCGCGGGTAGGAATAAGCGGTTGTACGGCTGCCTCGGTGTAACATTGCACAAAGCGGGATGCTGCTGGATGCTTCGAGATCAGTGGGTCATAACCTGGGTGCACGCACCCCCTGGTGGTGCGAGATGCCCTATCTGGGGGTGCGAGACATGGCCATATTATTTTAGAAGGTAAATCATCGAAACACAAATTAAGCACGGGCACGTAAGTACAACTACTTTGTGTCATCAAACCCCTACGTATTTATTAACACTATACATTATTTTATTTACGATTGAGAACCAAAGGAGTGCAGGCTTCCTAACAGTTTAGCACCACTGTTCTAGATGCCTACCCACGTGCCTCAGTCTTGGTTCAGCCTGCGTACGCTTCTCATTTTATCGTGGACTGTGATTTCCCCTATATTTTTTTTATTTTAACGCGATTTTTCCATAGCGCGGTGTTCTTCAGCAACGTAATTACTCCCACCGCGTTATAGGAGAACAGACTGAATGACTTAATATAAATGGTGGAAAGACAGCTGCAGTGTGGAGGGAGGGGGAATTTCCGCAGCTGCACACAAACTTAGCCTCATCCCGGAACCTTCCAGGTGCATAATGTCGCGGCATTGTCAGAAGGTCGTCGTGGCCACTATCGCATCGTTTTTCTCGGCGATGAGATCCTGTCGTTGTCGTAAGGTCAACACCAGACCTTGTGAGGGTCGCTCCTCCCAGCTTCTGGCTTTTGGTCATCCCGTAGAACCCCGCTGGCCTCTGGGTGCCGCGTCAGTGCACAATGTTCCGTGTGCTCTTCACACACTTTTTTTTGTGGATTTGTTTGACATCGCAGGACCCTGCAAACTTTACCCATTGTAAAATCCTTAATGGGTAACTGACGTCAGAAATGCAGGAAGGGCGAGTGGTTCATTGAGAATGTGTGTCAATGTGCACCTTGCACCCCTTGCCTGTTATCCGCAATATCGGCGCAAAGGCCAGGCGCATTTCTGATAGGTGTTTATGACGCTCCATAAATTCCACGTTGTTGCTACCGCGCCCCCAAAGCCTGCCATACAGTGAGGGAAAAAAGTATTTGATCCCCTACGTTTGCCCACTGTCAAAGAAATGATCAGTCTATAATTTTAATGGTAGGTTTATTTGAACAGTGAGAGACAGAATAACAACAAAAAAATCCAGAAAAACTTATTTCCCTCATTAAAAATGCAAATCAATTCATAAAATTTTTGACATGCGTTTTTCTGGATTTTTTTTGTTATTCTGTCTCTCACTGCTCAAATAAACCTACCATTAAAATTATAGACTGATCATTTCTTTGTCAGTAGGCAAACGTACAAAATCAGCAGGGGATCAAATTCTTTTTTCCCTCACTGTAGGTGTGCACACGCTTTTATCACATTTTTTTCCCATTTTAGGATTGTGTTATTTTAATTTCCTTCCCCATTACATTCCATCTGCATAAATCTTATTTTGACTCTGCCGTGGTGTAATTGGATACATGCTGGAGTTGCATTCTTGAGGTCGCCAGTTCACTCTCCCCGGACGCAGCAGCTGTCGCTGAACAGGATGCGATGGGCCAGACTTGGTGATTTCATCGGCATCACCGGCCATGTCGCGCTGGGCCTGTCTTGTACGGGGTTTCCCACCTTCGGGAGGCAGCCGTCATTTTAAATAAGGGCACGAGTAAACAATATTGACAAAAAAACCGCAACTAACGTTCCCGGCTGTCGTTTTAATGGAGGAGTCGATGTTTTCTTCCACCGCTCCAATGCCCACTGCCTAGGCTCGGGTTCACCCAAACAAGACGGTAAATTGAGAAATACAATTATGTAAAACTGAAATGGTGTTAGTTGTCATTAAGCGAGAATTAATAATGTGCGGTGAAATGTTACATCGCCCGGCCGCACGACGGATTCCTGGCGGGCAGCCCCCCCCCCCCCCCCCCCCGCATGCCGAGAGCGACGCTGCAGCGTGACGGGGGGGGGGGGACGCACGACGCTCGCGCCGGTCCGGTCCACGGCGTCGTTCACGCGGCTGCCGGCACTGACCCCGCCTGCTGGTGCGACGCTTGTTGCAGGTGCTGGCGACGGGGCTGAGCGGGCTGTACTCGTCGCTGCCGCGGAAGATTGAAGTGAATTCCGACGAGTGGCACTCGTTGCGCCGGGAGGACTGGTTGGGCGTGCCGGCCCTCGTCAGGTTCATGAACTCGCTGGAGTTCTGCAACGCCGTGGTGCAGGTGAGCGCCGGCGCGTGTGGGTCACCGCGGGTGAGTGTGCTTGGCGAGCGTGGCTCGTGAGCGCTCGTGAGCGTGGGTGAGTGCGCCCTCCACAATGCGGCCGGCTGCTGGACTCGGACCGATTCGCTGCGCCCTCACGCAACGATCCAGTGAACTGTTACGATTCAGGATAGCGATTTGAGAATCCATTCTAAGTGCTTTTTGACAGTTTTGAAGTGGTCTGTCTGTCCGTCTCTGGATTGGGAATTGGTGGGTGGGGGCAGTTGCGACTACTTCCGTATACCTGGTCCAATTGTTAAACTTTCATTGCTATTGCAGATTGATCCTAAAGAAAACCGGCCAAATCATTAAATGGGTTGCCCATATTAGAATTCTCATGTGCGGTTGCGCAAGGGTGTCATCATCATTGGTCACGTGATACGTCTGCCATCTCGTGGCCAAAACCTGTATATGTAAAAAACAATATTCTGCCTTCATACCGGTTGTGCCCTATTCAGTGTGCAATCCTTAATGAAATTACTTTGACATATGTTACGGAGCGATTGCTTTATTGAAATGTTTGTAATTGAGACCTCATGCTCTTGCGATTGAACTGTAAGATTTCCGCTGTCTGTTTTTGAACATCCTTCACCGGGCTCCCCTCCCTGCAGGTTGCTCATGAGGTGGTGAGGAATCAGCTGATCAAGTACATCTACCACGGGTTTCTCATCCCAGTCATGGGCCCAGCACTGGACAAGGTGAGATAGACCGCGCGTACACACGTTCAACCCTACCGCTGTTTCAGCCGGAGCTTCTGTCTTTGACCAGGATGAGGAGCTGTTCTGGGCACAGATGAAAACTTTGAATGACCAACAGTGGACCCAAGTGCATTGCACTGCAAAAGGCTCATATAGACAAGTGGCACGTCGACTGTTGTACAGAACGTTTGTTTCCCGCCTTCACCGCAATAATGTCGCTCTGTGATGAAGTTGTTCGTGACCGCGAGCCTTTCAGTGTAAACTATCTCAAATGAGTACCTGGAGCGCTGTGTTAACATTGCCATTTGGGAGATAAAGGCGGCCGGGCGTGGTCCTGCCACGGCACCCCGTTGTGTGCCGTGCCAGCCTTCATAGGTGCTGCTCACTAATAGCGCTTGCCATGACGGGGGATCTTTGTCTTTGCGTGCGTGCGTTTCGGTGCTCAGACGCTGGTGGAGGAGCAGATCGCCAGCACAGCTTACCTGGACCTCTTCCTGCGAATGGTTACGGAGCCGTCGCTGCTGCGCACCTTCCTGCACTTTGTGCTGCTACACTCCGAGGATGACAAGCGCGTCCTGGACATGCTCGTGGCACGCATCAGCAGCAGCTCGCGGGTACGGCACCTGGCACCTCACAGCCCCCGGCAACCCACGGCCCCCGTCACTCCGTGGCCCCTGACACCCCACGGCCCACTCCCTCCCTCCACTCACCACGGCGCCTCGCGGTCACCCAGGCCTACGAGCCTAGTCATCTGGTAAATAACCAAGGATAAAAGCATTTACGTGTTTACGCATCCATCCATTAGTCCCTCTGTCCGTCTCTCCATTTCTCCCTCCGTCCGTCCCTCCGTTTATTCCTCCGTCCGTCCCTCCGTCCGTTCGTCATCCCTCTGTCCCTAACAGCATCCCTCCATGCGCCTGTCTGTCCCTTCGTCCATTCCTCCATCCATTTTCATCCAATATGAACTAAAGTTTTGTGTAAAGTTCCATGTTGCTGTTTCGTTCGTGCCAACGCTACAACAGTTTAACTGGGTGTTTGAGATGACATGATTACGCGTGACGACATCGTCTCGTCGAGCGGCCTGGAGCGTCGATGTGATCATCGCCAGTTTAAAAACCCTCCCAATGGCCAAACGTGTGTAGGCAAGCGAGAATGCATGCGTGCACGCCATTGTTCGTTCCACTGTTTATATTTTGCTTGTGTGTTGAGCCCGCCACCACGCTTGCGTGACGCGACGGCGCCGTTTCTGTGTCACACAGCTGTGCATGGTGTCGCTGGCGCTTTTCCGGACGCTGCTCAGCCTCAACTGTGAGGACGTAATGCTGCAGCTGGTGCTCAGGTGAGGCGCAGCCTTGCTCACCGCGACGCTCGCACCGCCATCTGGCGCCTGTCTGGAATGCAAGGGTCGGGGTTCGGGGACTCTTCAAGAGCACGCTTTCTAGGTCCGGGCGTCTGCTGCTGTACGGTTGCAGGAGCTGGCAAAAGGAAGGAAGCGATGGCGAGTCTCGGTGTTAGGAGGGGCTGAATTGTCTAAAATGTCTTGGATGATCCAGAAAATTAGAATGAATTGACTTGTACAAAGGGCGGGTCGCTATATATATGTATGTCGAACTTCTTTCCCACCGTACGTAGCTAATCGGAGGTGCGATATATAAACCTTGAGATAAATCAATAAACTAACCGCACGTTGGGTCACGACCTCGACTCGTGACAATTCACCGCTGGTCGCCGTTAACGAACCTCCGTGCCCACCCCTCCCCCCAACAACGCCCGCCCCTCCTCCGCCAGGTTCCTCATCCCGTGCAACCACGTGATGCTGAGCCAGCGCCGCGCCGTCAAGGAGGTGGACCTGTACGGGCGCACGGCCGACCGTCTGCTGTCGCTGTCGCCCGAGTGCTGCCGCCTGGAGCAGCTGCTGCTCGCCGAGCGGGAGGACGAGCACGTGCTCTGGTCCAAAGGTGCGCGCTCTGCGCCCTGCACGTTGCACCCGACACACACCGCGTGCTGCCCTGTCGCGCTGCAGCATCGGTCTCGGCGTACAGGGGGGTCGAGCGATGTAACATTTCACCGCGCATTATTAATTCTAGCTTAATGACGATTAACACCACGTCGGTTTCCCCTAATTGTATGTCACACTTTCACCGTCTTGTTTTGGTGCTCTGATTTACCTTAATAGTTTTTCATCTAGCCTACCATTTGTTAAAGGAGGATGACGTCACCCCCACGCCGCACGATTACTCTGCACTCTGCACTGAGCTTTTGCACGGGACTGATTTAATGGTCATTAGGTTATTTTTTGTAACTTTATTATTGTGAACGTTAATAATAATAATTATTATTTTATGTAGGCTTCACAACCAATATGATTTATAGTTGGTTCATTTTGGGTGAGATCATGGTGTAGATATAATGCCAGTTTTCAGTGATACCCTCCACCACGGCATAGTCAATCAAATAAAGTTGTCATGAATACTTGATTTATAATAATTGGCGAAACGTCATACTCGAATTGTAAATGTTGTGGGTTTACTCTCCAGCACACAACCGGTGTGCTTAACTATTAACTAATTAGCTCGTTTTTTGTACGTCACAAACCTTACTCATTGGCTGTGTCGGGTGGTGGCGGGTTTAACAACACATTTATATTTACACTAACCCAAAAAAACCTCTATAGATACTTACATTTAAGTTGTTATGACAACTTCATTTAGTAAAAAAACTTCATGTACCTACATTTTCTAACCAAAAATTCACTAATTATTAATCATGAACTTTCATTATTGCTATTTCAATAAATGTTTTTGTCAGGAATTAAAATATAACAACAATTAGACCAACAGACAGCCATTATACTGACGCTACTTTGCAGAATGGACGACATGATTCTCGTGGACCCTATACCCTGGGATGTACAATGTAGCATCGCCGTGTCCTGGTGACTCGTATTCAGAAAGAGTGATGCCCTAAACTTGCAATTGACCTGTTCCCCTTCTTTCAACTAAACTATATTTTATTTAACCAGGTAAGGCCCACTTAGCTACGTAGCTCTCTTTCAGAAGCTACCTGGCCACAAACGATAGCCCAACGAAGTGGCTTATTTATAGCAGCCAAATACTCGAAAGGCGTGTTTCTAAATGTGGCGAGCACTGTTTTTGGCTGTCACCGCTAAAAGAAGCGGAACAATTTTCCAGTCGAATTATTACTCCGCAATAGGGAAGCTGTCAGCGGAACATCGCGGGAACGGAAATCAAATTACCTCCTGTTTATCTAAACGATCTAAACGGGGCCGATATGGCAAATTGGCACGGGGCATGATCACCTCGTTTGATGAACTAGCTCTGCCCAGTTTGTAAATCGCAAGGAACGGTTTTATCGTTTCAAGATTAAAATATTACTGCCATGGTAGATCCGATATTGAGTTGCGCACTAAGGAATTCGTTTTGCAATTTACACGACCTATTTGCTGATGTTGCCGTACAAACGAGACTGAAAGCGTGAGAATGAATGCAAGCGGCACGGGACGAAAGGGATCCGATCCTGGAATCAGATTGCAACCCGCTCAGCGTGAAAATTTCACCGAATCGAGGAGCCTTCTTTTGTAGTCCATTGTCGCATATCTGGCTCGCTCGAGACTGAGGCATAGACGGTTACGCAATCGTGACGGCTACACGGTCGTGGGTAATGCATTCGACTGTGCTTTCTAAGTGAGGGAATTGTACGCGGAACCAAGAATGTGCCCCTGCGCGTGTGAAAAGATCGGATGTGTGAACATCTGTAACAAATGGCGGTTACACAGCTGTGCGCAGATGTAGGCGTTTAGTTGGTCGGGGCGGATTCGTGAGGGCCGGATGCGCGACGTTGCGGTGCGCACACCTGAATCGACTCCTGGCCTCGACGTGACATCCTTCCCCTTGTGTTTCGCACCGCCCAGGCCTGGTGTGCGGCGTCTCGGAGGGCCAGCCCTCGGCGTCCCCGACACCCAAACCCACCACTCCGGCCCGCATGGGGTTCTTCTCGCGGCAAAAGACGGAAATCTTCGAACGGCAGCAGCGCTCGCCCGCTGTTCACGAACAGCCGGCGCGTCCACAGTCCCCCGCGTCGACAGCGCTCGCGTCGCCGCCGCAGCAGCAGCAGCAGCAGCAGCAGCCGCCGCTGCGGCCGGGCGGCGGCAATTTCGACGAGCGGACGGAAGCGGAGCCCGGCTACCTGCAGTACCTGCGTGACGCGCGCCGCGGCGTGCGGCGCTGCGCGCTGGCGTGCCGCGCGTGGTCGGCTCCCTACGACGGGGAGACGCCGGCGCCGGGCAGCGTGGTGATCGCGCCGAGCGAGGCGCTCGCCTCGCTGCCGCTCGACGCTGAGCACTTCGCTCTGGAGCGCAAGCTCGAGCCGCCGGCGGAGAGCCCCGAGTGGGACATCCGCCTCGACCAGTACCGCATCGCCGTCTTCCCGCACTCCAAGAAGCGCAGCGTGCAGCGGCGGAGAAGGCAGGGCGCTCAGAACGACGCTGCCGTGCCGTGCCCCCCGAAGCCGGCGGGCGACCAAAACGGCCTGGCGCCGACGTCGGCGATCCTGGAGGGCGACTCGCGGTCGGAGGCGCCGTCCGGTCTGAACGGCGCCGACTCGGCGAGGAGCGGGGAGGGTGGCGTCGTGCAGGCCCCGGAAGCTTCTGACGACGATCCCATGGCCAAGAAGCAGAGGAGGGAGAAGCGACGAGAATCGCACGACGACGACGACGGCGAAGTCGGCGGCGCGAGCGTGGCCAATGGGAGCGCCGCGCCCATCGAGCCGGTGATCGCCCCGCCCCGCGGCCAGCCGCGGCCGTCGGCGGAGAGCGCCGCCTGGGAGGAGACGGAGTCGGACGCGCCGGCTTCCGCTCCCGCCGGCTCCTGCGGTCGCTACGAGGGTGCAGCGGGGATGACGGTGGGCGACGCGCCAGCGGAGGCATCCTCCGCTCTCGACGAGTCGGTCGACAGTCTCATCCAGACGTTCCTGGAGGGCTCTTCGGATGACGCCAGCGGCCTCGTTGCCGACCTGCACAAGCAATCGCTGGTCGCCGTCGCGGCCGGTGTCACTGACGCCGAGGAATCCTCCGGGGACGCGGTTATCGGAGGGGATGAGACCGCCGCTGCCATCGCACCCGACTGCGTCGCCGCCGACTTCTCGGCACTTTCGGAGCAGGTGGAGCCGCGGGGCATGGAGACGCCGACGCAGGCGCAGGCACACGTGGTGACCCTGCCTGCTCTGCTCGCACAGCATCCGAGTCAAGCCATCGGCACGCCGTTCACCGGTGAGGACCGGCGTGGGTTGCGGGGTCGCGCCGTGCCGGCGAATGTCTCCGTCTCGGCTGTGCTGCCTCCCTCCTCCGTGCTGTTTGGCTCGTCGCTGCGGCCTCGTGCCGGGTATTTCGGTCGCGTCTCTTGTGCCGCCTCCCTCATCTGTACCGGGAGCGTCGTCTATCCACTCTGTACTGGCACGTAAGGTTGTTAGTGGAAAGTAAAAATTAGCTGCGTCCGTGTCAAGCCACGTGCTCCTTGTGAGCCGGCGTTTGGCCACCCCTACTGTAGACTGTAGGTAAAGGTGTATCCCTGCAATCCCCTGCTCACGCCACTGCTCGCGGAAGGAACTCCACTCGTGGCTAAACGTCCCCTTTCGAGGGTATTTTGGGCGATTCTTCCATGCTGGTCAGACATCTGAGTAGAGGTGAAATATTCACACTTTACTCCACCATACGTGACCTGCCGATCGTCTCACACTTGGTGTACCTGTTGGGGTGATAGAGACAGGGGGATTTAAGAAACTTGAAGAAAGTTTGTAACTTTCGCGCTGGGAGATCGAATCGACCCGGCGACCTCTCCAGCGTGCTGACCGTTACCACCACGGCAGCATTCTGCAGGCCGTAGTCTCGCGTTAAAACGCCCTCGTCGTCACGGCCGTCGTTGACACTTGGGTGTCCATCATCGTCCTCCCTTGCTCTCGTTGTCCAAGGGCCCTTTGTGGGCGCGCTGTTTGCCAAGCTGGAGAACATGATGCAGAATTCGCTGTACGTCAACCTGCTGCTGACGGGCGTCGTGACGCAGCTGGCCTGCTACCCGCAGCCACTGGTGCGCTCCTTCCTGCTCAACACCAACATGGTCTTCCAGCCGAGCGTCAAGTCCCTGGTGCAGGTGAGCGAGGGCACCGACAGCAGTGAGTCTCTGAGCGAGTCTCTGAGCGAGTCCCTGAGCGAGTCTTGAATGAGTCTGTGGTTCCCTGTCGGAAGCTCCCCACTGCTATGCAATGGCCTCTCCCATTCTCCCCCACCCCATCCCCTCCGCTCCTCTTCCCTTCTCTCGATCTCCACCGCCACAGCGTTCGTTCCATCTCTCGCCGGATGTTCCCTTGACACGCGCTGCCTAATTCTGCTGTTTTATTTTCCTTTAACAGCAGCATCGGTGATCCCAGGTCTTTTAATTATTTCTCAAATCCTTTACCTCTCTCTGCAACTTGCTGTCTGGAGAGAGTTGTAAGAGTTAGGTTAACCTGCTTACGATTGTAGCACGATCATGAATGCCCTAAGAGAATACGGACCGTAAGCCAGAGTGAGATCGTAGCCATTTGTGGGGAACCTGTCAACCCCACCGGCGCACCGGCCTGGGCCTGCCAGGAACACACGGACAAAGATGTAGGGCAGCAGCCGCACGCCGCTGTCGCACCTCCGATTAGCGCGGTTAGCTATGTACGGTGGTGCGAAAGAAGTTCTACGTATATATATGAAAAATGAGAATAGGTGTTTCGCCTTTCTGGCAATAAAACAGGTGTTAAGATGTTCCAACACCAACAATATAGCTTTCACAAGGAATCAAGTCTGCATGAACCACACCCAGTACTTGTGGTGAGCACGCAAACAAACTCTGATATATGCATTGTCTTTGAAACTGATTGGCCGACACCAAGGACAGTCTTCTTTTTGGCCTAGTCTCACCACCAGTGTCAGGCCGGAGAATGCCAAGAGATGAACAGTACAAAGACAATGCACTACGAGAGCATTTATAGCTCGGGGAGAGCGGCTATATCATGGGACCTTTTTGTCAGTATCAAAGGGTTAAACCAATTATTTGTCATACTTTTGTAATGTAGCACTCAAAAACGCTGTCTGCTTAAGTTTTATATATATTATTTATTATACAATACAGTCCATCCGACTCGATGGCAGGTTATCAGATCGACGCAGGTTGACTAAATTACAACTGGGTGACTTCTATATAACTGCTACACGACGCTCACTACACTGCTGACTGACTGTATAGGAGCCATCGACGAAGTTGCTACGGCGTAAATATATAACTCCCTTCGCTAGTCTTCCAAGACGATGAGGGCGATCCACAGCGATGACGGGCCGGACTCCGACTCCCCCACGGCAGCCTCGAGCCCCGCTCCGCGCTGCCTTTTATCTCACCTCGGCTCTGCCACGCCCCTTTTCCCAAACTCTCTCCTGTCGGAGATTTCCTTTGCATCACTAACTCCTTGTGGGTTCCACCCCTCCCCCCGCGGTGACTCCTCACCCAGTTATCTCACTTGACCCTGCCTGTCCTCATCGCTGCAATCATTATTTGCGGCCACCTACTAGGCCCCGTACTGTCCTTTTTGATACTGGCAAAAGGTCCGATGGTACATATATATATACACATGCGCGCTGTCGCCGGGGCTGGGCGCGTGCAGGTGCTGGGCACGGTGAAGAACCGGATCGAAGCGTTTGCGGCGGGCTACGACGACTTCCCGCCGATGGTGGTGCGAGCGTGGCAGTACCTGATCACGCGCGGCCAGAGCGGCGCCGTCGACTCCCCGCTCTTCGTCCCGGCCCTCAGCCGCGCCGAACAACTCGGTGAGGCTGCTGCTGCTGCTGTGAGCGCCACCGCCTGTCGGGCGGGGAGGAGGTGGCTCGGTGGAGCGATACTCATCTTACTTTATGTTTGTCGAGCGTCTTAGCTGAAGGCGCTCTATAACAGAGTTTAAAAGCGGTTACAAAAATGGAGCGATTGAGATGGCAAGGGCACAGTGCGCAAGGTCCGAGGAATGAGCGTCCGTAACAGAGGGCACGTGGGGATCACGGAAGGGCTGCAGGGGAGGGACGAGACGGAGTGGAGGGGTGAGGGGAGGGAAGATGAAGGGAATGGTTGATGGAGAGGAGGTGGTGAGGCTTTAAGAGGCGAAACGGAGGAGGTAGAGGAGGGGCACTGCTGGGGATGTGCAGGGAGAGTTGGTTCCAGTGGCCGGGTGCAAGGGGGGAGACGGATCGGCAACGAGGTTGGGCGCAGAGACGCCGCAGCCACCACGGCGGAGCGCTGAGCCCACGTCGGAGTTACTCGGCTCGGTCGGCTTAAAGTCATCGCTCGCGTCGTCGCGGAGACAAACAAAACACAGGTCAGCTGACATTACTTTGTACAATAATGAATAATAATATCAGCTTGTTACGCTGCGCGTGGAGGAGCTGCAGCTGCAGCAGCAGTGGCGGCCGTGGGGTGAGGAGCCGGTGCCAGCAATTGCCCAAGCTCCAGCGGTGTCATTGGACAATTAATGAGTGTTTACATGTGGGCGGAAACCGGAGCGCTTGGAGAAAACCCACGCATTTGTGGGGGCAACGCTCGATCCCGTACAGACGGAACAGCAGGAGTCAACATTTGCTGTACTGCCTTCTGGCAATCCAGGGTATGGCCTTCCCTCGACACCCCCGGGAATATGCGTGTGATACACGGTAGTCCCTTGCTAACCGCAAGTGTTACGATCCAGAAAACCCTCATGGTTGGTAAATTCGCGGCTGGTAAACTTTGGACCTTTTGGGGATGATAGGGTGAGGGGGAGACCGAGGTCGTGACTGAACCGATAAAAATCCCATGTAAATATTTCTTACGTTCACAATTTTTTTTACCAACAAACACGCTCAAGAGATTGTCCGCAACATTCAAGACATGTTTAATTATGAAAGATACGGTGAATTAAATTACATTTAACTTTGATGATGATGATAGTGAGGCACTTTTATCACTACACTAAGGGGCCGTACTTAACATTTTAATGAATTTATTAAAAATTAAAAAAATTACCACGTTTAGTGGCACGCGAGTACAGTATGTCATATTTAAGCAAAACACGGTAATACACAAATCACGAAATTAAATATACAATTATTTTGTGAGCGTGAATGTGACCGCTGGCAGAGGTAGCAACGTGGAAAGAGAGAGAGGAGTGGGTAGCTACAGAGCCAGTGGTGTCTCCTTATTGAGAGAGAGGAGTGGGTAGCTACAGAGCCAGTGGTGTCTCCTTATTGAGAGAGAGGAGTGGGTAGCTACAGAGCCAGTGGTGTCTCCTTATTAAGAGAGAGGAGTGGGTAGCTACAGAGCCAGTGGTGTCTCCTTATTGAGAGAGAGAGGAGTGGGTAGTTACAGAGCCAGTGGTGTCTCCTTATTGAGAGAGAGAGGAGTGGGTAGCTACAGAGCCAGTGGTGTCTCCTTATTGAGAGAGAGAGAGGAGTGGGTAGCTACAGAGCCAGTGGTGTCTCCTTATTGAGAGAGAGAGAGGAGTAGGTAGCTACAGAGCCAGTGGTGTCTCCTTATTGAGAGAGAGGAGTGGGTAGCTACAGAGCCAGTGGTGTCTCCTTATTGAGAGAGAGAGGAGTGGGTAGCTACAGAGCCAGTGGTGTCTCCTTATTAAGAGAGAGGAGTGGGTAGCTACAGAGCCAGTGGTGTCTCCTTATTGAGAGAGAGAGGAGTGGGTAGCTACAGAGCCAGTGGTGTCTCCTTGTTAAGAGAGAGAGGAGTGGGTAGCTACAGAGCCAGTGGTGTCTCCTTATTAAGAGAGAGAGAGGAGTGGGTAGCTACAGAGCCAGTGGTGTCTCCTTATTAAGAGAGAGGAGTGGGTAGCTACAGAGCCAGTGGTGTCTCCTTATTGAGAGAGAGAGGAGTGGGTAGCTACAGAGCCAGTGGTGTCTCCTTATTGAGAGAGAGGAGTGGGTAGCTACAGAGCCAGTGGTGTCTCCTTATTGAGAGAGAGAGGAGTGGGTAGCTACAGAGCCAGTGGTGTCTCCTTATTAAGAGAGAGGAGTGGGTAGCTACAGAGCCAGTGGTGTCTCCTTATTGAGAGAGAGAGAGTAGTGGGTAGCTACAGAGCCAGTGGTGTCTCCTTATTGAGAGAGAGAGGAGTGGGTAGCTACAGAGCCAGTGGTGTCTCCTTATTAAGAGAGAGGAGTGGGTAGCTACAGAGCCAGTGGTGTCTCCTTATTGAGAGAGAGAGGAGTGGGTAGCTACAGAGCCAGTGGTGTCTCCTTATTGAGAGAGAGAGGAGTGGGTAGCTACAGAGCCAGTGGTGTCTCCTTATTGAGAGGGAGAGGAGTGGGTAGCTACAGAGCCAGTGGTGTCTCCTTATTGAGAGAGAGAGGAGTGGGTAGCTACAGAGCCAGTGGTGTCTCCTTATTAAGAGAGAGAGAGGAGTGGGTAGCTACAGAGCCAGTGGTGTCTCCTTATTGAGAGAGAGGAGTGGGTAGCTACAGAGCCAGTGGTGTCTCCTTATTAAGAGAGAGGAGTGGGTAGCTACAGAGCCAGTGGTGTCTCCTTATTGAGAGAGAGAGGAGTGGGTAGCTACAGAGCCAGTGGTGTCTCCTTATTGAGAGAGAGAGGAGTGGGTAGCTACAGAGCCAGTGGTGTCTCCTTATTAGAGAGAGAGGAGTGGGTAGCTACAGAGCCAGTGGTGTCTCCTTATTGAGAGAGAGAGGAGTGGGTAGCTACAGAGCCAGTGGTGTCTCCTTATTGAGAGAGAGAGGAGTGGGTAGCTACAGAGCCAGTGGTGTCTCCTTATTGAGAGGGAGAGGAGTGGGTAGCTACAGAGCCAGTGGTGTCTCCTTATTGAGAGAGAGAGGAGTGGGTAGCTACAGAGCCAGTGGTGTCTCCTTATTAGAGAGAGAGGAGTGGGTAGCTACAGAGCCAGTGGTGTCTCCTTATTGAGAGAGAGGAGGTGGGTAGCTACAGAGCCAGTGGTGTCTCCTTATTGAGAGAGAGAGGAGTGGGTAGCTACAGAGCCAGTGGTGTCTCCTTATTGAGAGAGAGAGGAGTGGGTAGCTACAGAGCCAGTGGTGTCTCCTTATTGAGAGAGCGGAGTGGGTAGCTACAGAGCCAGTGGTGTCTCCTTATTGAGAGAGAGGAGTGGGTAGCTACAGAGCCAGTGGGTGTCTCCTTATTGAGAGAGAGGAGGTGGTAGCTACAGAGCCAGTGGTGT